TTAAGTACTTTTCACATAATTGTGAAAAAAAATATCTGACATTCACAACTTAAGGAAAGACGGTCTTACTGTGTCTCGAAGTTTAAGGGACTACTAGTCTATCTTGGCACAGAAGACACAATGGGTCAGTCTATATGGCAGGAGCTTGAGTGGGTCTACTCCCATTTTTAGAGTTATAAGCAGAGAAATGGCTGTAATTTTCCAGGACTTCTCCCAATGGGCTTACTAGCTAGATTTACCCATTAGACTCTGTCACCCAAAAAAGTTCTACAATCTCCCAAACAGCTCCACCAACTGTGAACCAAGTATTCAAACCAAAGAGCCTGTAGGAGGTATTCCATATTGAAACCATAACAAATATGTATATTAAAATCTAAATAATTATTAAATTTAGTGATGGAGCTGAGTATATCAGTTGGGAAATTCCCCATTTAGAGAATAAAAGCCAAAGTTCTTAGAGAATCAAACTGTTTAGGAAGTAGATGAATGCACAGAAGAAAAAAATTAACATTTTGAGGTAGTTTCTATATACTGACTCTTCATATACTGAAGTTGCCTTTTTTAAGCTGTTGATTAAATCAGAGATATTGTTTGATTTGGCCCTTGCCATAGCCTGACTGTATAGACTCCATATTCTTCTCCCTTCTCTCTGTGTGTGTATATATGTGAGTCTGTGTGCATGTATGTATTTGCACACATATGCATGGTACGGGAGATGATACCTAGGGCCTTACTAATGCCATGTAAGTTTTCTATTATTTTCTGGATCATAAAATTGAGTTGAGAGAGATCAGAAAGCCTCCTCAAGCTTAGCACTAGCAAAGTTGGAAAATGAGAAGGGTCCAATGGCTGCGACAGTACCCTGGATGACAGGTGTGTCTGAAGGTACCTCCTTAGCATAACTTCTAAGAGAGGAGAGATGTTCCATTTTGTTTATTTGTTTTCTTAGAATTTCCCTAGGTAGTTCATTTTGGTAGTCCAAATTCTTGAGCTTTCCACATCTGCCTCCAGAGTACTAGGATTACGGACATATAAGCACACCCAACTTTCAAGTTTAAATATTAGAGGCAGGTCCAAATAGCAAGCTTCCACAAGATAAAATAATTTTCCAAAATATCTGACAATCAATGAACAAACAGAAGGTTTCTTATCACTGTGAAGAGACACCATGACCATGGCAACCCTTATAGAGAAAAACATTTAATTAGGGCTGGCTTACAGTTTCAGAGGTTTAATCCATTATCATCATAGTGGGACATGGAGATGGAGAAGGAGCTGAGCATTCTACATCTTGATCTGTAGGCAGAAGAAGGAGACTGTGTATCATATTGGACATAGATTGAGCATATGAGACCGCAAAGCCCACCCCACAATGACACACTTCCTCTAACAAGGTCACACTAATAATGCCACTCCTAATAATGTCACTCACTATGAGCCAAGCATTCAAAAACATGGGTCTATGGGGACCATACCTATATAAACCACAACAGACAGTAATAATGAAGATATTGACTTATTCACTAGACCCCTTGCTTTGGATCTTTTCCTTAATGGGGGTAGTTTCCAACCTCAAAAGAAGAGTTTTACAATCTGGCAAACATGTATTCAGGCATACATACATACATACATACCACTTTATGAAGTACTCTACCATTAATTAAAATGGCCTAATGGATTTCTTTTCTATTGCTGTTTAGAAACTATTACATTCATTTAGTACATTGGGATACCACACTCCTCAAAACATCATATTTCCTCATTAAATAAGGAAAAGACCACACTCCCTCTATTAATAAAATGGTAGTGTGATCTCCCCACATGTGCTCTATGAACAGCTCTCTTGTTTCTTAGTGGCTTGAAAGGTTTGTGTCCTGCTCTTTCCAAAAAATAATCCCTTAAATGATTCTATTAAAGCCTTTCAGTTCATACAGTAAAGAAGCCTGTTTATCCTGATGTACTTGATTGCAAAGCCTATTGCCGGCATACCTACTGAGATGAGCATTTAGGGAAGTGCAAGAGAAAAACTAGTGAACCCATTTTGAAAACTATACAACCCTGAGCACTGTGCAAATGTGTGGATGTGGACCATGCTGATGCTGGTGAAGGAAAGGAATCTCTTACTCCATTTTCCAGGACTCCAGCATTCCAAGATTCCTGCAGGATCTGAAGCAAAGGAGGTATTTCACTGCAACGTTTTATTGGCAGGGAAAAGGTTTGAAAGTTATTTAGCTTAGAAGAAACATATGTCACTAAGCAAAATATCATGGTTTTGAAAGAAATGCCATCATTTGTGTCACTTATGTTGGCAAATAATCTTTGGTAGTGAAAATACAAACTGCAAAGTTACATAAAATTCTGCACTGCCATAATGACAAACAAGGCATGGAATGAAGTGCAATCACCTAAAATTGATTAAACATGTAGTTGATTCAATAAAGAGCAACTTTGATGCAAAATCTATTCAAAAGAGTGAAGAATCCAATGCCCTATGTCTTAATCTCTCAAGAATCTCATACCTCTTCTCCAGCCATGAGAGGCAAGCATTCATAGCTCACAGTGACTCCCTGATAACCTTCTTTGTGACAACACATGATTATTTCTTGAGCTCCAATTCTGCTCTCCTACAATCTTTTCTTAAGTGATGCATTAAAAGTTCTATTTATGATGTGCATATTTTGTATAAATTTTGTTTTAACTACCTAAAAATGTAAATATTTTTATATTTTATATAAAATAAATATACATATCAGTGGGGTTGCTATTTATTGAATATATCTATCTTCTTGTGATGCATTAATCTTTTTTTTCAAGTTGCAGGATTTGGAGTCAACTAAAAGACATAGGAAATTGTATTTGAGGGAGTTTCCAGAGACTCTAAAGTGAGGAGGGAAGATATATGAGTGGATCATAGGCTACAGAAAAGACTATGGGAGGAATAGGTCATCTGAGTACCAATATCTCTCTGTTTCCTAACTGGAGATGCAGTTTAAGCAGAAGCTTCACCCTCCTGTCCCCATAGCTTCCCGACAATGAGGACTCTATTGCTTCTTTTTAAAAGATTCTTATGTTTTATTTATGTACATGAGTGTTTTGCTGGCATATATATCTGTGCATTGTACGCATGCCCATGCACACAGAGGTTATTGGAGTCCCTGAAACTAGAGTTTTGGGCAGTTGTAAGCCCTCATGTGCCCTCTGGGAACTGAATCCTGCCCATGCAAAAAACAACAAATGATCTTTTGTTTGTTTTGTTTTTTTGTTTTTCAAGACAAGGTTTCTCTGTGTGGCTTTGGAGCCTATCCTGGCACTCGCTCTGTAGACCACGCTGGCTCAAACTCAGAGATCTGCCTGCCTCTGCCTCCAGAATTCTGGAATTAAAGGCATGTGCCACCAACACCTGGCCTAAAACAACAAATGGTCTTAAATGATGAGCTCTCTGCATACAATAGTGAAGAAAGCAGTTTAGACATAGGCCCTGAAATTTCATCATGGCTTATTTATATCTGGTGGGTCAGGAAGCAAAGGTATTAGACCAGACCCAGAGACAGATGTCAGATGTCAACTTCAAGGCACATTCCCAGTAACCCTCTTCCATTAAATAGGCCTCAATTCTGGTCTCTCCAAACAATACCACCAGTTGGAGACCCAGGGTTCAGACAGGTTAGCTTTACAAGGAACACTGAAAACACAGCAAGTGCTATGCCAGAAGTATTAGCAAACTGTTTTCAAATTCAGATCAGTGAGCTTAAGTAATTTTGTCTCAGAAAAATCGAGACTTTTCAGAGTATGTGGTAATGATTGCATTGATCGATAGCAAATTACAGCTTTGAAATGACTTTGAAGTCAATTAAACATGGATTTGAATCCCAGTTTTCTTACATATACTAGAGAGTGGGGTGAGATCAACAGTAGCAAAGAGTATGGCACATGGCCTTTTGAGGAAGAATAGACAATAAAATGAGGCTGGAATTGAGTTCAATTCTCTGCAACACAAGCCATTGACACTTAAAGAATGAATGGTGCAGTCGTGATGCTTGATTCTTAGAGTAAAATGTCTTCTAGTTCCAAGACAACCTGCTTCTAACTCCCCCATTTTGGCCCTCTGGTCTTCAGCTTTTTCATCTGTAGCTAAAGGACACTAGCATTGAGCCCATCCTACCCTGTATCTATGTTAGCTATTACTAGTCTCTTCTTTTCCTCAAATTGGACAGAGATTTAGCATTCTCAAATTTCTCAAACTATTTACTAAAGATTAATATTGGCCAACGTAAAGACATCTGTAGTAGTGAAAATTCTATATGGGAAGAGAACTGACAGGTGGGTGTAAATTATAACAGGGACTTCACTCAAATGACTTATAACCCATAGGGTCTGAGTGGCCCTCTGTATGACAACCCTGTTGTTGCTTAGACCATGAAACTGGGTGCTATAGAAGTTCCAAGGTGGTGCTAAAGGTCGAAAAGATTCCTAGAGAGTTCGCTGGTCCTGAGCTGACAGGACCACAGCAGTGATGATCAACAGCACAACAGAATAGACACATCACCAGCATAAAATGAAGGTTGTTCATCAAAGGACACTTTTCCTCAGACCTCTGTGTATCTGGGCCTCCACAAGAAGGTGCAGCTTAGAGTGGAGGAGAGCCTTCTCTCCTTGGATAACTTGGAAATCATCAGCTGGGATGACCGTCTCTCAGTTAATTCCAGATCCTGTTAACCTGAGCTTTAAGGTTAATGGCTCTGGTCTAGGGTTTTTGTTTGCTTGCTTGTTTTTAGCTGTGTGAAATAATACTGTTTCTTGGGTAATTTGAAATTCTTATGGTGTGTTACAACATCAATATTTACACTGACTTTTTTCATTTCTTTAGAGATCAGCAGTCTAGTCCAATGATGTATACACCTATTCAAAAATCAAAGGAGATAGGGAATATGTCTTCACCTTAAAGTTACCACAAACACCTCTCCAAATTTAACTTGACTTTGGGGTTCTTTGCATTTTAGATCTGAAAATTCATCTCCAGACCACTGAGTACGGCAACTTCCTGGCTAATGAAACAAACCCTCTCACCGTTTCCAAAATTGACACAGAGATGAGAAAAAAGCTCTGCAGAGAGTTTGAATATTTCCGGAATCATTCCTTGGAGCCCCTGAGCACATTTTTCACCTACATGACGTAAGTGAAGCCCTGCTAAACCCCAGTGTGATGTATGATGACTCCTAACCATTTTAAGTGGAAGAGTGGGCCGAAGTGCTGGGTTAGACCTCATTGTCTGTAATTTTGAATGCATACAGATTTTAGCAACTGGTAAATTCACAACCTATTTTTGAAATAGAGAAGAATTCATGAATATAAAGCTGATTGTGGAGGTTGTGATAACCTCCATGTACATGTGTTTTTGTTTTAATGAATACTGAGTGGAGCTAATGCTTGAAGAAGTATACTGAGGTAACTCTTATGTGACTTTTTTATATCATTTACAGAATAGGGGAAGACTCACAAATTGCTGTAAAGGTCATGTCTACCTTTCCTAGTCCCTTTCTATAGTACAATTGCCTCCTGTCATAGTTACTCAATTTATTCTTGTCCCTTACCAGTGGTTTCAACCTTTCAATGTATGTGTTCCTCATTTTAAGGCAAATTCCAATGCTTACACAGTTATAAGTGGCACTTAAACTATACCATGAGCACATGAGCCATTTGAAAAGCTTTGTAACATTCTAGCTGTTACAAAACAATGACTTACAATAGATATGCTGTGTGTTATATAGATCAAATTTAATTATAAGGAACAAAGTTATAACTAGTAGAGCCAAGTTCTACCAAGTGCTCAGCACTCAAGCATGAAATGCATTCATAGAAAGATATTAACAATGATGCAAATGCTGGATTGTACAGGTCTAAAAGTAAATAAATGGAAGAAAAGAACGGGGCTATGTACAGAACACTGTGTTTAGCAATAGACAGAAACCAGGAAAGTGTCTATGAATCAAATAAGGTGGGCATTAGAATGCATGTAACAAGGGCCTGGGAGAAAACTGTGGAGTGTAGAGATAGGTTCTGAGCATCAGGAGAAAGGGTTCGAGCAAATAGGCAGATGGCAGAGGAGCCTTCTAAAGAGGCAGTTTCAGCCTCTGCCTTTAAGACTGTCAGTTAGTACGACAACAATGGTGTTATTGTGTTCCCATCCCTTCTTCTATCTCTCCATCATCTATTCTTACATTCCACAATTATCAGCTCTGACCTAGAGTTTGGTTAATAAAGAATGGGACTAAGAGTATCCAAAATATCTGCCAAACTGAACAAGGCTGAATGGATACTAGCTGCTGTGCCTGACTTTAGACTGGGGGAGATATGTATTTAAATCTTAAAAAATGGCAACTAGAAAATACTTCATAGAAAAAGGACCACATCCCAAACTTAATGTGGTGCAAATCAATATGAACATTCTGTCATTGGTGCTGGACAAGACCAGAAATAAAGGGAGGCTTGACTGTTTGAGATTTCCTACTATATCATGGGAAATCAGTTTTACTTCATGATCAATAAATATAGTCAAGAAAAAATGTGGCTGAGTTTGTTGTTCAGTAAGAATATACCTGCTAGCATGGAACAGTCTCTGACTTCTATCTCTCATGCTGCATGAAAGAAGGAGGATGACCAGAAGGAGGGAGAGAAGGAGAAAGAGAGAGAAGATGTAGGGGGAAGAAAAATCAAAGGGCATGATCATAACTTTCCAGGAGTTAGGAAAAACATAAAAATTGCCCTATTCTATGTATCCCTTTGATCCCCACCCACTTCCTCTCCCCAGTGGAACTACTTCTTAATTTCTTACTTTTTTCATGTAAGCATCTACAAGTATATGTGTTATTCATGGGCCTCTCTCTCCCTCTCTGTCTATCTATCTATCTATCTATCTATCTATCTATCTATCTATCTATCTCTATCTCTATCTCTATCTCTATCTTTATCTCTCTCTCTATCTATATATATATGTATATATATATATATATATATATATATTTCTTACTGATATCTCTGTGAACATTATTCCCCTTAAATAACCATATAATTCTGTGATATAAATGTGCTATTAGTCCATTTTCAGTCATCTCTCAACAGGTAGCTAATATATTTTCATTTGTTTACATTGCAAAAAATAAATTGCAATTAGCTAACTTCTAAGAAGACATTTCTTTGCAGTGTATGTGATCAAACTCCAAGATGTTGTATTTGCAAGGAAAGGTAAGTGCTTTGTTAATGAGCCACATCCCCAGCCATCAAGGCACATTTGAATTGATTTCTAACTTCAGTTTGTTGCAGCAGAAGTGATAAGACAAAGAAATGTGCTTTTCTTCATTTGTTTTGAGACAGGTTCCCTGTATCTAAATAAACAGCCTGAGACTCGCTGTGTATCCCAGGCTTGCCTTGAACTCATGATCTCCTTGTTCTGGTTAGAAATGTATATTTTAAAATTTGGTAAACTGCACACAACAAATGAAACACCAATTTGAACCTCCAAAATAGTACATAAGAAGGCTTGTGTTCTTATACAATTGCCAGCATTTTGTACTCTATTTTTAAATTTTTGCCAATCTGATAAATTAAAAGCTCTCAATCTCTCTCTCTTCAATTTCAGTTCCTTATGAGTAAAACTGATTATGCCATACTTATTTATTACTAGACTAATTTTTTACCTATTTTTATCAGAGTTTATAGAACTTTCTAACTGATATGCATACTTCATAAATTAATATGGTAGTCTTTTAGTAATAATATGTCAAAAAGCTATTTTTGTTTTGATGCAATTTAATTTTATGATATTTATCATCAATATTGTATGCTTTTGGTGCTGAAGACCACATTCAGGATCTCACACATACTAGGCAAAATGCTCTACCATTGACTATACCCCAGACACAGTAATATTTATGTGTGTGGGGGGTTTGTAGGACATTTTATGAGTTTGTTTGGTTGGTTGGTTAGTGGTTTGGTTTGGTTTTTTTTTTTTGAGACAAGGTCTTATGTAGCCCAGTCTTGTCTAGAACTCAGAATAGAGCAAAAGCCAAACTTGAACTCCTAATCCTCCTGCATCTACCTTCCAATTGCATGGATTACAGAATTTGGCAACATCCATTACCTTGTTTGGTTGTTTTTTTTTTTTTTTTTTTCCTCTTAATGGTAGGATTGCAGACACTCAGCCCTGCATTCTCATCTTGCTCTGTAGGACTCTTTCTAAAAAGTGAAAAGAAAGGGAATACTCTGTCCTGGAGATTCCAAGCATGTGCTTCCAACAATTTACTTCTGGTTTTCACACAGAGTCCCACTAATGGTCAGGCTTATCTGAGCTGTCTGGCTGATCCAGAATTTACAACCCACTTGACTCAACCTCCCAAGTATCTGGGATGTACAACCAGGTCTTATGACTTTGAAATTTTGGGAACTGAGCCAAAGCCACCAGCATGCTACCCAAGCACTCTACCACTGAGCTCCCTCCCAAACCCTTAATATTTTGAGACTAGGCCAAACCATGTAGCTCATCTGGCCCTATGCTAATCATACAGCCCGAGATGGTATGGACTCTTAATTCACCTGCCTCAGCTTCCTGAGTGTTAGCATTGCAGATATGTATCACTACATCTGGTTCCTACAGAGTCCTCTGTGTTTTATCCTGCCATATCATCTTGTGGTGTGACTTTTCAGTTCTGGCACTAGACTGCTGCTCTCTGCAAAGCTTAGAGATTTATTTCAATAACCAACTGTGTACAAATGGGGGGATGGTGTCCCACAGTTCTGAAATATATGCCCTCCAAAATGTTCTGTGAAGTCAAGTGCCTATCTAGCCCAAATGAACTTCCACAATCAGAATTTGATCATGCCCTAATAGGAAATATCCTGAGGCAACACTATAGCACTGTCAAAGTCAACCCTAAGAGAGACAGTCTAAATTTAAATTGATTATCTTAAGCTTTGCACATTTTATATGAGATAATTACTGTACATGAAAATTTTATTTTGAAAATGTGGAGCAGATATTTTTAAATCCTTCATAGCAAGAATATCTGAAGGTTTTTCATACCATAATTATGCACAGTTTATGAAACAAAGGAACAGATCCAACTTCATGTTAGTGAAGACTGCTTATTACAGATCAAGAGTGTTTTGGTTTTCTTCCTTGCTACTCAGTATTTTACAGAAGCATTTCAACTGCTCATCTCTTTTGGATGAGCAAATTTTAAGAAATAATCTTTCCAGCATTCAAAGTATTCCACTACCAAGAAGATAAAAAATGTAATACAATGACCAGGAAAATATACCCTTCAGGACCTGTGCTGCAGTCCTTATCTCCATTAAGAGTAGATCAAGGTTATTCTGAAAAATATTGTAGCTATTGTATTGAGCATGTACAGATTTTTGTTGCCACGCTGCTTTAAAATATAACAACTACTTATGCAGCATTTGTATCATATTGGTTGATAGAGGTAATGTAGAATTTACATTAAATATATGGGACAATGCATGCAAATTACATACAAATGCCATTTTACCTACTTGAATGTCTGGGAATGTTGGGGGAGGGATCTGCAGTAGTCCTCACCATAGCCACAGGGATGAATGTAATGAGAAATCCTGGGTTAAAGATGAAAGATACTGAGAATCTCAGGTTAATCTGAAGAAACCTTTAAAGATCCATTTATAAGGGATAGCCAAAGTTCTTTAGTGTCCCAGCGATGGCCTCTAGATCATCTGTAGGCTTTGCCCTGTGCTGTATGTTCAGGTTATAGACTTGGCCCTTTAAGTACTAAAATCAGGCAAGTCTTCAGCAGTTTAGACAAGAAATGAAAACCTTGACTCAGAGAACACCTATTCGAATGAAGCAAGCAGATGTGTCTGTCCTTGAATGGTGAAAAGCCAAGACAGGATTAGGTAGGATTGTCACAATCTAGGGCATTAAGTGATTCAGTGGTGCCTTCAGGCATGAAGCAATAGCTCTGACATTAAAGGATCTGCATCGAAGACTGAACATAACTAATATTTAAAATGTGCATATAGAAGAAATAGCTGAGACTGGAAAAAGAGTTTGTGCTTAGAAATAGGAACTCGTTTCATATGGTTCTGGAACTAGACGTGAAAAGAGGAAGAAGGGGAAGAGATGAGAAAAAGCCTGGCTAGGT